TCACAGATGAGAAAATTGTTAACATGAAGAAATTATGTGACCTGTTTTCAGGTCCTTCTTTAAGCTCAGAAGCAAAACTGGGACTAAATGTTGGCTCTAATTCTGTAGCTTCACAAAATTCTTTAGTGTACAATGATTAATTTTTTAAAAAAGCAAATGATAAAAATGAACCGTAAATTTCAACCCACATTGCTATATTTCATTTTTTTTTGTTCACTGCTATATTTCAAATGTCATGATGCTTTTGAGTCACCTTGTATCTTTTTAGTGCGTTCATGCATTTGATACTTTCCACTACACAGAACAAAAATAACTTAATCTTATCTAAGAATTTGAGAGGTTCCGTTTCTTTTCTGCATATTCTAGTGATCAACTATAGCACTCTCAAAAGGCCAAACGTTAAACAGAAATATATCCTAATGCCTATCCAAGGGGACTTAAGAGAGGGACTTATGATACATATGTCTTGTTATTTGCAATAGATAAATTCCAAAAGGTTGTATAACAGACAAAAACTGTTCTCTCTTACCGTTAAGTACACTATGTAAAAAAATGTCAAAGGATAGGAATAATGTGGTGCCTACTACAGATAATATGAACTAAAATCTTTAGATATCCAAAGCAAATCAATTTGCCTTTAATACTAAGAAAAATATGCTCAGACAAGAAATAGTTAACTATACTAAAATCCAGATACATGATTAAACCTGTTCAAATTAATGTTTAACTTATAAGAGCTATATGAAATGCACTGTTAATGAAATCCTTGACCCTGGGTGGGTATGGCCGTTTGGAGAAAAGATCAGACTACATAATCAATCTAGTGAAATTATCTACAGAAAGCAGGAATGCTAGGTTTTCAGAAATCATACTGTCTATATTATGTGATAATAACATGATGTTAACAAATAACCTACTAGGAAGATGCATGTTTCTAACAATGCAATTAAACTCTATTCCTAGAAGAAAAAAGTGAAAAATTAGACCTGAAAAGTTTGGTTAAAACAACTGCCAAGTCTTTTACCCAAATTCTTTTCAAATATCAAGTTTAATATGTAGGACGCCATCTGCTAAAAACTGATGCCAGTAAACTTTTTAAATTGTACTTGAAAGACTTTAAACACTAGCATTTAGGCTTACAACTGAACCTAGGCTAAAAGAAAACATATTTATATATTTTCTTCTCTTTTGCCTAAACAGTATTACCCAAGGATTATTTCTGATATTGCCCTAAAGACCTACTAAACTTTTATAATTATCAATGGCAACTTTTAAAACATCACATTACGTAGAAACACTAGGATAATACCTTAATATTGATCTATGGCTAATACACTGTGGAATGCCTCTGCCAGTTAGCACTGTGGCAAATATGGAGAATGTCCTAACCTTACCATTCTGAAGCAGACTTTCAAAAATCTTCAAAGTCATCTTTAATCAGGTATGTAAACAAAGTTTGGTATGGATAGCACACCAATGAGGGCAGCAAAATGGTAGACAATATTTAAATTTTAATCATTAAAGATGTACTTGATACTTAAGAAAAGTAACTGATCACCTTGGGAGGATGCTAGTAATTCAAGTCATCATTCTAAAAACAAAGAGAAAGAATCAAATATTTATCCTGCCTGCCTTCCCTTTAAAGACTCTCAAACAATAGGTATAGGGACACTTCTCTATATACGTTCTGCTAATAAAGAAATAATAGAATTGGAACATCACAGTTTTGCAAACTCCTAATGAAATAATCAATACATATAAGTAAAACTCACTGACAGTAGAAACACTTATTCTAGGCTTAACAGAACATGAATTAACCAAGTCTCTAGATCTGCCAGTTTGCAGACACCAGGAGAGAAAAACAATTAAAATCAAGTAATGAAATCAGCAAAACCCAGAATGAGGAAAACTCTAATATCAAAACCTGGTTTCTTCAACAAATAATCAGAAGGAATAAAAAGTATTGTGGGGGAGAACCTATAGATTAAAAGATTTAACAGAAATTTTCAACAAAATATGTGTATACTTTGTTTAAATATTGAGTCAAACAGCAGGAAAATAAGAATATTTATACTATCAGAAAAGTTTGAGCACTGACCAGATATTTGATGACTTGAAGAATTATATTTTGATTATCACGTTTTTAAGAAGAGTTTCATAGATATACTTTTAAATACTTATTAGATAAGATGATGATGTCTGGATTTGCTTTAAAATATTTCATGGGGGGGATCCCTGGGTGGCGCAGCGGTTTAGTGCCTGCCTTTGGCCCAGGGCGCGATCCTGGAGACCCGGGATCGAGTCCCACGTCAGGCTCCCGGTGCATGGAGCCTGCTTCTCCCTCTGCCTATGTCTCTGCCTCTCTCTATCATAAATAAATAAAAATTTAAAAAAAATTAAAAAAAAAATAAAATATTTCATGGGTAATGGAGGGTTATAGATGATATGAATTGATAGTTACTGAAGCAGAGTGACAGATACAAAAGAGTTCCCTGTATTATCTTCTCTATGCCTACTTGAAATTTTTCATAAGGAAAAACTTAACAAAGACGATGAGCTAAAAAAATCTATATGACAATCCAGAAATATAAGGACAAAATAAATGCATGTCCCTCCGAAGTCAAAACAAATGAAAATGTTAATGGTGAATTAAAACAAGCATTCTCCCTATACACACAGACCAAATGAAAAAATGTGAGAGCCAAAGAGGTAAATCTTGCTCAAGGTCACAAAATAAAACAGGAGCAAAGCCAAAACTAACTTCACAGTTACAAGCCCACAAAAGGTCTAAATTGGAGCTAAGTTAAAAGAAGATCTGTGCAGTCTTGAAGTAGTCTGAAGACTCATTAAAGGTGTAAGTAAAGGTCTAAAAAGTCAGGTGAAAGAGGCAGGTGGTTTGAAAGCAATATGCTAAAATGAGAGCAATAAAGCTGGACAGTGTAAAGAAAAACTGGCTATCTGGTAATCATTCTCACCAGGGAGAAGTGTTAAATATATGATGTATATTTGGAAACTACTTGAATTGTCTAGCTTACACATTATCTAGCTTACAAGCTTACCCATGAACTGATGAAACATAAATCATTATTTTAATAACAATTTTTGAAAATAGTCAAAAAATTTTAAATCTTAAGTGCACAACTGATTTAAATCTTAAACATAAAAATGGGATTTATACAAAAAACCTTATTTTTTTTTAAAGATTTTATTTATTTATTCATGAGAGACACACAGAGAGAGAGAGGCAGAGACACAGGGAGAGGGAGAAGCAGGCTCCATGCAGGAAGCCTGACATGGGACTCGATCCCGGGTCTCCAGGATCATACCCTGGACTGAAGGTGCTGCTAAACTGCTGAGCCACCAGGGCTGCCCTATCCAAAAAATTTTAAAAGGAGGGGTCTATCTTCCTGTCCAAAATTAGGCTTTAAAATTTGACCGTGAAGGGTCTTCGCTATTTACTTAAACATCTTTATAAAAGAGTAAGGATTCATATTTATAATAAAGGTCATCAAGAATAAAATTCTGGGTATGCCAACAAACTATACTATCTTTTCTTTTTAAAGATTTTTAAGTAACCCCTACACCCAATGTGGAGCTCAAACTCACAAGCCCATGATCACGAGTTGCATGCTCTACCAACTGACCCAGCCAAGTGCCCCTATACTATCTTTTCAATAAGCACAATGACAAAACAAGAGCTCTACCTACAAAGCAGAATAAGATGTAACCCCATTTATCTTTTGTCATCCTGAAAATGTAAAACCTCCTAAGCTTAATGAATTTTTAAATAAATCATTTTTAAACAATCAACATTCATACTAAAATGCATTTTAATTTCTGGCTGACATGTATGTTAGTGACTATTTTCAAAAGTGGTGAATTAGATTCCTTTTTTATTAGAAGAATGGTCTATTTTTAAAAAGACATTTCTGGCATTAAATTACACAAGACTAAAAAAGCTATTTTAAAAATCCACTATCAAACATTTCAAAGTAAATGTCCTTCAGTAACTGTAAGAAATACCAAACCAGGAAGTCAAAGAAAATTCCACTGTGACCTCTAAAATTTAGTATTAGAGATAACTGAGATCACTTGTTAAACAGTAACTTGTTCTTTAAAAAGCTGAATAAAAAAAGGAGCCTGAAGGGATAATGCAGAAATAAAAGCTGAGACTTAGAGAACTTCACCACAGAGCTAAAGAAACTCAAGTAGTAAATTAGAGATGTTTCCTGATCCTTGCCAATATCTTCCAAGTGGTTAATGTAGCTCTTTTCTTGAAAAACATGTTTTCAAATAGTATCCTTCTCTTCCAATAACCTAAAATCAAAGCTAACATGTAAAAATTCACACAAAGACAAAAAATTCTCTTGTATAAAATAAAAATTAAGGAGTCATTATGGATAAAAGCATGGATTTAACAACTCAGGTGGTTCTACTTCTCAATAGCCCCTTTAACTTCTACATCAATTTTCTGGTCAGTAAAAGGGGATAATTACAATACCCATCAAACAGGACTATTGTGAGGATCAAACGATCCAATATTCATCAAGTGCTATCATCACAATAAGTTTATAACCACCTGAAATCAGTAACATTTTTACATAATAATCTTTTTTAAGCCAATTAAGAGATTATACAAAAAATGTTAATGCTCCTCTCATAAAAATATCCCTATTCTACCCCTATTTGTGGGGGAAAAAGAAAAGCAGGAAAACAAGTATTTTATTTTTCTCCTAAGGTCATTAACTCTGGGGGATATAATTTGGGGATCCCTTCAGAAAATTATCAAATAAAACCATACCTACATGTTTTAAAAGTGTGTCAATATCGTGCTGTGTTCAAACCCAAGAAAAGTGGAAGACCGAAAAGTCCATGTTTCTAAATTTCGGGTCATCACTATGAATAAAAATCTGCTACTATCCGGTAAATAAAATAAGGCCGGTCACAAAATCTTATAACAAAGTATTTCAAAACTTAGAAATAAAAAGGAAAACAATTACCTTTGTACAATAAAGCATCCAAAGTTCAAAGAGCCTCTCTCTGGATGCCATTCTGGCTTTCACTCTGGCACTTTAATTTTTTCCTCAAGGAAAAAAAAAATTTATGTTCAAGACCACAGCATGTTCATTTTATTTTCCAAGTTTTTCTGCCGTTACAGTAAAGCCCAAAGCAGCAAGGAAAACGAAAAGAAGTGAAACAAACGGGACTGTCTTCTGGTGAATAAAATTCAGTTCAACCAAGTCACTCCAACTTCTCCTCATCGGTGGTAGGTGGTTGGGTGGGGGAGAGGATTAATCAAATCTGTGAAAGAGAAAAAAAAAATACGCAAAGGCTTGGTAGGAACAGAGGCCGTCTTAAAAAAATAATAATAATTGTAGATTTATCAGAACTATAGATTTATCTACTTCACTTCCTGCAAACAACCGGCTACGCTTCTATGGGGATTGATTTTCCAGAGCGCAGTGCCTCACGCAGGCGTCGCAGCCAACACAGTACCTCACACCAATCAATACAGTCAGAATCCTCTAGGGCGGACCCTCAAAGAGGACTACTCGGGACCACAAATTCGCCCCAGGGCCACTCATATTTTTTTTCTTTTTTCCACTCATATTTCTTTTTTTTTTTTTTGAGACCACTCATATTTCTTATAAAGAAACCCGCACGTACTAGTGCTGTATTTTCAAGACAAAGGGCACCCCCCCCCGCCCCGCCCTTAGGATTTTCTAAGTCAGCTTCTTAAAAACTTGGGAATGTGTGTCGCTGAGTGGGGCAGGGCAGGGCGTGGGGAGAAGGGCGAGGAATTCCTGGTTTGTTTATTTTAACGAGACTCGGAGAGCGAAAGTGGACCGGCCCACCTGGCCTCCCCGCCTCCCCACCCAGGACCGAGGGCCGGGGACGCACCCTCCCGCGCGGGGCAAGCACCCCCGAGAGAGCCTCCAAGTGTTTTCAGGGGATCTTTAAATGTCCTCCACGCAGCCCACACAAGCCCAAACTGAGGCAAAATCCTTAAGGTTTGTGCCAAGCTGCCAAGAGAAGCTCTGGAAATGGGGCGACGCGAGCTCGGCATCCTCCGACCCGGCCGACCGCCCTGGGGCACACCCGGGTCGCGCTCGCCGCCCTCACAGGCCGCCCCCAGACGCCACGGCGCGCCCCCCGCCGCGCGCTCAGGGCCCTCCCGCGGCCGCCACGCGGCCCCCTTCTCCCCTACGACCCGCACCCCTCACCGCGCTCAGGCTGGGGGCCGCGCCGACGCCGCCAGGCCGACGTCTGACTGACTCCCCTCGCCCCCTTCCCCAGCCGAAGCCCCGAGTCACCTCGCTGGAGGGGAGGCGGGCGGCAGAGGGAGGGAGGCGGGGCGGCGGCAGCGCGAGGCGGGGAGCGAGAGCCCGGAGAAGCCTAAGGCGGGCGGGGCGGGTCTCGGCTAATCACTCCGGCCTCTGGGGATTTACTGGGCCCCGGGGCAGGAGCTGCTCATTGGTCGCGCGGTCTCAGAGGGGGCGGGGTCACTTGAAGTCCCGCCCCGGCATTCCTGCGCAGTCGCAGTCTCCCGGACTCCCGAAGCTTCGGGGACTGGCGCCGGCTGGGGCGTTCCTGCGGGTCGTCCCCGTGCGGGACCTGCGGGAGGACCGACGTGCTGACGTTCCTGCCCCGCCGCTACTGGGGACGGACGGAGGTAGCGCTGGGCTGACGGCGTCATTTCCGGGACTCATCTGAGGGCGGGGAATCCTGGAGTGATAACTAACGGGGATTTTGTCTTGATTCCTTGTAAAAAGGGGGTTGGTCTTGGGAGTGAATATATATATATATACACATACATGAATGTGAAAAAAAAAAAAAAACCAAAGCCCCTTTCCCCCATCGCGTTTGTGCCTCCCACTCTCGCGGCCGCCAAATGTCCAATCCAAAGGGATTCCTTTGACAACCCTAAAGGCTTGAAACGGTTTTTGCCTTTTCAGGAAAAGAAAAAAAGCAAAGGCTGCATTTACCAGATTTACACGACTTTCAGGCGACGTTTGTCGAAACGGGATGGGAAGACGCACAACCAGCTTTAACACCCCTAAACATCTATCAAACTTTTGTTATTTTGAAAGATGCCAACCATATATATACAAAGGTAAACTAGTACAATAAACCCCACATATCCTCGCCCGTCTTCGACGATTACCAACTAATGTCCCGTCTTGTTTCATCTATACAAGCTTGAAAGACTAAACAGCCAGAGTAAATATTCTAGGTTTTGCAGACTGTTTTTGCTCGGTGTGTATTTAACAATTAGTATTAAAGAGTAATATTTAGTGACATTTGGAGAAAAGGTAAAAGTCAAGTTGTAGTGTTGTAATAAAGTTTGTTGCAACACAGCCATGCCCATTCATGTTCTCCTGTACACTAGCACCACTCTTTTTTTTTTAAGATTTTATTTATTCATGAGAGACACAGAGAGAGAGAGAGAGAGGCAGAGACACAGGCAGAGGGAGAAGCAGGCTCCATGCAGGGAGCCCAATGTGGGACTCGATCCTGGGTCTCCAGGATCAGGCCCTGGGCTGAAGGCGGCGCTAACCACGAAGCCACCCGGGCTGCCCCATCACTGTCCCTCTCAGGCGAATTACCACTAAATCCTTTCTAGATTGTAAAGGCAATCCAGTTTGTCTCTCTGCCTCTGCACTCTCTCCACCCATGGATTATTCTCAACACAGCACAGTAATCTTTTAACATAGAAATAAAATGTCCCACCTCTGCTAAAAACTCTCCAGTAGTTTCCCATGCCACACTTAAAACAGCTAGGACCTGTGTTTTCCTCCCACACTTATGTCTCTTTAACTTCTCACAACTAGGGACGCCTGGGTGGCTCAGTGGTTGAGCATCTGCCTTCAGCTCAGGGCATGATCCTGGGATCGGGGATCGAGTCCCACATCCGGCTCCTTGCAGGAAGCCTGCTTCTCCCTGCCTCTTTCTCTCTGTGTCTCTCACAAATAAATAAAATCTTAAAAAAAAAAAAAAACTTCTCACAACTATTCTGGTCTTGCCTTATTTCACTCCAGACCAATGGCTTCCTTGCTGCTTCTAAAATTCACAAAGCATACTCCCATTTTCAGTAATTTTATATAAGCTGTCCCTCCACCTGGAACGCTCCTTCCACACATGTCCACACACAGTCTTCCAAGCCTCTGCTGAAGAATCACCTTTTCTGTTAGTCTAGTCTGAATGTGTCCTTCCAAAATCCGTATGTTGACATCTTAACACCCACGGTGATGGTATTAGGAGGTAGGGCCTTTGAAAATAGATCATGAGGAAGGAGCCCTCATGAATGGGAATAGTATTCTTAGGAAATTGATCTCAGAGAGCTCATTAGCCCATTCCACTATGTGAAAATACAAGAAGTCTGGGACCTGGAAGATGGCATTCATAAATCACCCATCTTGGACTTTTAGGCTATAAAACTGTAAAAAAAAATTTTTGTTTGTAATCTACAAGTCTCTGGTATTTTGTTACAGCAGCCCAAACATTCTAAGACATCAGTAAAGCCTTCACCCTCTTTTAGAAAATAGCATCCCTTTTCTTCCCTACTCTATTTTTCACTCCAGCACTTATCAGCTAACATATAATTTGTCTATTGTGATTCCCTCTATTAAAATGTAAGCACTATTAAAACAGGGACTTTATTCACTGGTATATACTTTCAAGTCCTTGAACAGTGTCTCATACACAACAGGTGCCCAATAAATATTTGCAGACTGTTTTACTATAAGTCTGTGTATTATTAAACATCCCTTCTTGAGGGATCCCTGAGTGGCTCAGTGGTTTGACACCTGCCTTTGGCCCAGGGTGTGATCCTGGAGACCTGGGATGGAGTCCCACGTCGGGCTCCCTGCATGGAACCTGCTTCTCCCTCTGCCTGTGTCTCTGCCTCTTCCTGTATCTCTCATGAATGAATAAATAAAATCTTTAAAAAAAAATCCCTTCTTGAGTCTGTCAAATTCTGCTGCATTTAGATGGCATCTAGTTATCAGCTAGGTGCCAATAGTCTTCCATGGCTGAGATTTCTGATAGCTCCCTGGAGTGGGAATAAGCTTTGGTTTTAGGAGTAGGCCCTGGGGACCCCTGGGTGTCTCAGTGGTTTAGCACGTCCTGGGCCAAAGGCAACACTAAACCGCTGAGCCACCTGGGCTTCTCCCCATCACCTATTAAACTTAACGACACCACCCCACTTGCCCTCTGGTAACCATCAGTTTGTGCTCTATAAGAATCTGTTCGGGCACCTGTGGGGCTCAGTTGGCTCAGGCTCTTGGTTTGGGCTCAGATCATGATCTCAGGGTTGTGAGATGGAGCTCCACTGAGCATGCAGTCTGCTTAAGATCCACTCTCTCTGCTCTGCCCTGCCCCCCTCGCATGTACATGCACACTCTCTCGAATAAATTAATTTTTAAAAGTCTATTTCTTGGTTTGTCTCTTTTTCCCTTTGCTCATTTGTTTCTTAAATTCCACATATGATTGACATCATATTTGTCTTTCTCTGACTTATTTGGCTTACCATTATACTCTCTAGCTCCATCCATGTTGTTGCAAATGGCAAGATTACATTATTTTTATGGCTGAATAATATTCATATGTATATTCATGTCTTCTTTATAGATTCATCAACAGATTGTCCTTCAGCTGTTTCCATAATTTGGCTATTGTAGATAATGCTGCTATAAACATATGGTGCATGTATCACTTTATTTTTTTATTTTTTTTAAATATGGATTTTTTTTTATTTTTATGTATTTATGACAGTCACACAGAGAAAGAGAGAGAGGCAGAGACACAGGCAGAGAGAGAAGCAGGCTCCATGCACCGGGAGCCCGACGTGGGATTCGATCCCGAGTCTCCAGGATCGCGCCCCGGGCCAAAGGCAGGCGCCAAACCGCTGCGCCACCCAGGGATCCCCGCATGTATCACTTTAAATTGGTATTTCACTTTAAATTGGTATTGTCACTTTGGGGGGGTTTCTCTCTCCTTCATTATTGGTGTATAGAAATGCAACAGATTTCTATACGTTGATTTTCTATCTTGCAATTTTACTGAATTCATTTATGAGTTCTAGTATTCTTATGGTGGAGTCTTTTGGGTTTTCTATATATATATAGTATCATGCCATCTGCAAATAGTGACTGTTTTACTTCTTCCTTAATGATGTGGATGCCTTTTACTTCTTTCTGTTGTCTGATGGCTGTGGCTAGAACTTCAAGTACTATGTTCAATAAAAGTGATGAGAATGGACACGGTTGTCTTGTTCTTGACCTAAGGGGAAAGGCTCCCAGTTTTCCCTTTAATTTCTATTCTTTTAAATTTGTGAAGATGTGTTTTATAGCTCAGAATGGAGTCTATCTTGGTGAATTTTCCATGTAAACTTAAGAAGAATATATATTCTGCTGCTGTTGTGTGAAGCAGCTGATAGATGTCAACTATATTCAATATGATTGATAGTGATGATGAGTTCTACTGAGACACTGTGCACAGGGATCCGAATGTATCCTTATAAATTGGTCAAACCGCTGCGCCACCCAGGGATCCCCGCATGTATCACTTTAAATTGGTATAAACCGCTGCGCCACCAGGATCCCGCATGTATCACTTTAAATTGGTATTTCACTTTTGAAGGGTAATTTCACAGGGTACAGAATTCTAGGTTGGTGTTTTTTCCCTCAGTATTTTAAATATTTCACTCCACTCTCTATTTGCTTGCATGGTTTCTGAAAAGAAAGCAAACGTAATTTTTATCTTTATATTTTCTACAAACAGGTATTTTTGGGATGCCTGGGTGGCTCAGCAGTTGAGCATCTGCCTTTGGCTCAGGGCGTGATCCTGGAGTCACAGAATCGAGTCCCACATTAGGCTTCCTGCAAGAAGCCTGCTGCTCCCTCTGCCTATGTCTCTGCCTCTCTCTCTGTGTGTGTGTCTCTCATGAATAAATAAATAAAATCTTTTTTAAGAATTAAATTAATACGTATTTTTCCCCCTCTGGCTTTTTTCAAGATTTTTCTCTGTCTTTGATATTCTAATATTTGAATATGATATGCCTAGGTATAGCATTTTTTGGCATTTATCCTGCTTGATGTTCTCTCAGATTCCTGGATCTGTGGTGTAGAGTCTGTCCTTATTTGGGGGAAATTCTCGGTTTTTATTCCTTCAAATATTTCTTCTGTTCCTTTTTCCCCTCTAGCGTGCCTAATACACACATTACACTTTTTGTAGTTGCCCCACAGTTCTTGGCTATTCTGTTCTGATTTTTCAGGTTTTTTTTTTCTGTTTGTGATTATATTTTGGAAGTTTCTATTAACATATCCTCAAGCTCAAAGGGTGTTTCTCAGCCATGTTTAGTCTACTGATAAAAGTCACTCTTCATTTCTGTTTTA